CGGTGAGGTTGGGACTGCTCCAGTGAGGTTGGGACAGATAATGGGGACCAGTATAGACTGATGAACAGGGGTAGATGCAGAGGCAGAGCAACATTGAAGCATATATTCTTAGAGAGGCTTAACAGTTTCTCCCCATGGTCAGTAGCATTTCTTTAGGGATTTTCTTTTTCAGATACTTTGATTCTGACCTTTTCATCTTCGTCCCTATTACATAACACAGTGCCTGGCATGTAAAATGGGATCAGCAAGTGTGTGGAAAATGAATGGTGATGTTGACCTTCCCATACTCCTCTATATACGAGGTTCCTGGTTACGGACTTCTGACCATTTCTAGCCGGTGCTAGAAAGTCTGAACTTTCTAGCACCGGCATCTTCTTATTATAAAACAACTGCAATCCACCATTCCATCTAGTAGTGTTCTTTCAGGCTGTGGCTGAGAGGACTTTTTCCCCCTAAGTACAGGTTAGGCCCTCTGACCTCACTTATGTAAATCTGGTGGTTTGATGCTATAAATCAATTTCCTGTTTAATAATCAGAATAAAACAGCACCTATAAGAAGAGCTTCCTTGATTTGCAAATATTCCAAATAAAACTATTGGAATTGACCAACAGAATGTGGGAGCCTAAGCCCATATTGTGTTCTCCATCTCACTTTGCAAGGTAATGTTCTGTGTTCGCTGCTACAGCCTTAAATTTGTGGTAGTTGACAAATAGAGGAACGACAGCCCTCCCCCCAGGTGCCCATACATAACACTCCAGTCCTTATGAGCCCCCCAGGCTGCTCTGTCCAATGGCAGAGAGGGGGCAGCCAGCATCTGCGGCTGGGGAGCCCATCAAAGTTGTGTCCTTAGAGTTGGTCTTCCAGGCCCTCTGTGGGGCCTGTCTGTCCCTAGTGAGCAGGAACATTCTAGAAGCAGAGCCTGAGAAGGGCATGGGGAGTAGGGCTAGGCAGGTCATCCTGGGAAGGGTGCTGAGGAGAGTGTTGGGGAGGGGGTGCCCCGTGGGAACTCCTATGTCACAGGGGCTGTTTCTGGTGGAGGAGGGAGGTCAGTCACTGCCTTCATAGGCTCTTCCTCCACATAGTGCTTATTTTAACAAACCATAAAAAGGAAATGGGAGGTGCCTGGCAGCTGGCAGGCTCTGACAGGAAGCGTCCCATAAGGGGACAAGCACGCGGCCCCTCGCTGGTTGCTGGGTCCTGTTTACAGCAGTTTCCACCCATCCGGAGGACCTGCTCCTGGCTTGGGGGCCACACGCCTTTCTTCTTCATTCGCAGCAGCTGTGTCCTGGAACATTCGACCTCCAGACCACTCTAGTTCAACTGCATCCGCCTGGCTTCCTCTGAGTCCACTGCCTGCAAGAGCTCATACTCCTCCAGGCCACCCAGTGCCTTCCCCAGGCCACCCAGCACCTGGCGGCTGCACCCCACCAGGTAAGGGGAGGCAGGGGAGGGTCCCGGCACCCTGGGAGTCTGAGATCCCACAGCCTAGTCAGAGCCACTCATTGCTGGTGTGACCTCACACAGGTTACCCTACTTCTGGGCTCACCCATGGGTGAAAGGGGACTATGATGGTGGCGCTGGGGGCAGCACCGGGTTTATTGTGGGGGAAACAGACCTGGGAACCACTCGCCCTGAGCCCACAGCCCAGCACATTCCACGGCACTTGGGGCTTCCAGCTAATTGCCTACTGCCTATTGGATCTTCATGGAGTCTCACAAGGTTTCACGCAGCTTCGGGAATATTCTCATCCCACTTGATGGATGAGAAAACTGAGCTTCCCCAGGTGCCCAGCTTGGGGGCAGGGGGTATGCTTCTCAGTTTCTCTCTCTTAACTTCTTAACCTTGCTCCACTGCGCACCTGCTTCACAGGAGACCCCTGAGTACACATTGTCTCATGACCTTGTCCTTCTGGAAACCACTCCATTCTCCCCCAATAGCACACACCTTTCCTCTGACATGACGTAGGACCCGGCTGCATGGCAAACAGACTCATATTCAGGCACAAGGACAATCCCTCTGTCTGCCGAACCTTATGTGACAGAGGTATCCAGAAATCACAAGAACTAAACTACAAAACAAGGGAAATATAATGCCAGGAAATATGGGGACTGTGGCAGATGAGTGAAGGAGACACTTATGAGTGGCAGATAAGAAATAGTTTGATTTTCCTCAAACAAGCAGGAGGGAGCCTGCTTTCTCATGGTTTCATACAATAAGGTATCATCATGATAAAATCAGGCTCTTGTAATTTTAAAATCATTATAAAACCAAGATACATTATATTCATTTCCTTCAACCCCCTGCCTGAACTAGACCCTCCTATTGTCCTACCAATGCTGTTACAACTTCAGCTTGCACACTGCATGCTACTCTCTGATGATACCTGGCCCCATTTTGGAGATTACAATTTTCCTTTTAGAGAAGGAATTTGCCTCCATTCTGGTTTTTTTTTTTTTTCAAATATATTTCTTTCT